TATATATTTTAATCTTTAACAAACAATGAACAAAAGAACGGAACAAAAATACGCAATTGATTAGCTCAATTTATAATGAATATTCAAAAATTCCTCCATTTGCTTCAACACAAAGTGACATCGTCGAAACATTGATTGTCTCACACGCTCGAAGACTGCAGGAATATTCTGAACCTGCAGCAGTAATTCGGGCTACCAATTCTGCTTCTATTTCAATAGGTGTCTCATAAATGAGAGTTTTCATATGCCCCCATAAAACATTTATTATGTCCCGCGTAAGACGTACGAAAAGAAAAATATAAGTAGAACAGATAAAAGTTAACAAAAATTGTATAGGTCTTTTTTCAATCGTCTTACGCGGGACACCCTGTATATATATATATATATATATATATATATATATATATATATTTATTTATTTATATGTGATATATTAAGTCACGCACCTCGACGTGTGAAATTATTCAAATTTATAATATTCAGTAGAACTTTTTATCGAACTTTTTATCAAACCCAAAGGTCATTAACTTTATTAATTGAATGCGCGGCGTAAATCGTATAACTAATAAAGTAAGAATTATTTAGCATCAATTAAAAGTAGTAAAAGTCTAGCGCCAATGCTTTTTATAAAAGCATATAAATGAGTTTTTATCGATTTATATATAGAAGTATATTATATTATATTTATATATAGAGTGTTCCAGAATAATCGCAGGAAATGCAAGATGCGATTCTTTATATCCAGAAAAAGCAATCTTTTTTTAGCAATAATTTTTAAACAAGAATAATCTAAACTTAACGAATAAGCAGTGAAAGTTGCATATAAATTAGTAATGGTGTGTATTTGACAGTTACTTCCCTCTTGCGCTGAAGTCGCAGACTGCTATGCTGAACATGTGAGGTATTTTCTTTTTATAACTCAAAAAATCGATTACACTATTAATAAAGGATAACTAAATATTGTCGCTATTCTTAATACAACTCACTTACTTAACCCATTAACACCCAAATGTGCTGAAATTTTACGTTAATTTGAGCCATTTATTTTACTACGGAAATGAGGTCTGTTGTTTATAAAGAGTACCATTCCTACCAATTTCGATGTCGCTCTATGAAATGGTGTTGAGAAAATAAAAACAAATTAATCGTAATTTATGCAAAATTTTTGCAAAATAAAATTGCAAAACGCATGTTTTTAAGGCTAATTTTTTCTTCTTTCGCTATTTTCTCCATAAAAACGTATTAGTCCCGAGTTATCGCTCAGGAAAGTGTCTAAAACATGTTCTCGACACTTTAAGTTAAAAAATATGTCATGGGTATTTTTTTCAACATAGTGATATCAAAATAGCAGTCGATTTGAAGCGTTTAATTTGAATTTTCGTTTATATTACAAGGATACTGTTGTCGATGGGTTGCCACTGCCTTCTGAGAGAGCACGAGCATATGAAAATTTTCGGCTCTACCGGGAGTCGAACCTGGGACTACCTCTATCACGGTAGACCAGTGCGCTATCTGCTGTGCTACGCTCGTGTATGTATATAAAGTTATTAATTACATTTAAATATTCATATAGACTATTTACATTTTAAGAACTGAGAGGATTACTTATACTTAAGAAGCTTAGTATATTTCTTAGCAAGATAAATCCTATTATCTAGTCCTATCACAAACAGCACACGATATCCCATGGACGTTCTGTGGATGTCCTTAGGACATCGGAACGTCCTCAGGACATCCTCAAGACATCCTGAGAAGATTTGTGCTGTCTGGGTATACTACTTGGAAACAAGAAAACATTAAAATGAACTTATATAAAAAGAAACACTAAAATATTCTACTTATGTAAATAAAATAATATAGCTCCGTCATAATTATATTATATTATAGATACGTAATAATAAATTTTCTAATACGTCTTACTAGTCGAAATTTCAACATAATTATAATTTCTTATCCTAGTTGAAAGAACGTATAGT